ATACCATATTGCACACTCACCTATTGCAGATATTTCATTAGCTTCAATATCTGAAGAATATGTCTTTAGAAGTTCTTTGAATTCGGTCTCGAGTAAACAATAAAACGACATAGAATGGTCTAAAAATAATAATTAATGTCGGGTCCCGGTTTAAGTGCCTTACATTATAAAACATAGTATACCGTGGCTGAGGGGGGGGGTTGTTACTACACCTGTAACCCCCCCCCTTGGATACGCGCCTGATATAATATGATATATATATACATATACTAGCCGTTTCGACATAACACCGCAGTTGAACTTTGTTATGTATTATATATATGCCGTGCTTCTCTCCGCAGACGATATTCGTATATTTGTGTGTATTTGTGCGAGTGAGCACGCGTACGCGTGTGTGTGGGAAAACATTGCTCTCGCGGGGAGGCAGGAAGTAAGCATGTACGTGGCACGCGCGCGCATGTAGCCAAAGAATTATTTGTATTATTATTTATTTCTGCCATGGTTGCTGTGCGTCTGCAACGGACGTGTCTGCCTGTGTTCTGCGACTGACAGCGGTGACGGTGGACACGCGCCGGTCGGCCGGCCAACCCTCCGCCCATACACCGACTATAACTTCTGTTTATATATATATACATACTAGTGTTTGTCGAGGATTTTTATTTTTATTATTATTATTTTTCMTGTTGTTTATGACACCGCTTGATATTAAATTTCACTCGGTAATGTTAGTCGTGATTATTATTATTATAATTACTATTCCTTGCAAATAATACAGAAATTATACCAAAATCTAATTTAGACATATTTTCAATAATATTATGAATTATATATTTATATGTTTCAAGCATTTTTTTTTTTTTTTTAAGCAGTTAGGTACCCTATAATCTAATAGCTGATTATAATATTATAATATAAATTTCATAATTATATTTTCGTCGTCGAAAACATTTTGTGTTGTTTANCTTTGTCGTCGTCGAAAACATTTTGTGTTGTTTATTCAACGATATTAAAAGAAGAGAACGCATGTAAATGATATTATAATTTATTTAGTTAAATCCCGGTGCACGAAGAATAAACATTGAAAGACGGCGGGTAAAAAACTGGAAAAGAAAAAACAACATAGAGATACGTGGCGAGTACATGACGTGTTTATCAAACTATTAGGCAGCACCTCTTCTGTTCTCTGTTTCGATTACGCATCACGGACTGAGTACATTTTACAACTGCAGGCTTTAAATAATTCATATATTATGTGACACTAGTGAAAGATATAGAAAAGCACTAGCTGCAAAAGAAACCGAAAAGAAGAAACGATAGCGGGTTTGTACATACTATATTATACGTACACACTATACGCGTCGAGTGTCAATCATTAATTTGGCAAGAGAAAACGCCCATCGTGGAGTAAAAAACAGAATACCGAACGACCATGAAAAATGTATACTGCAACTACGCGACCACGATRGATATATGTCTAGTTAGAAGCTAACGGTGCACAGCAGACCACCGAACTCATACAATTTTCATAAGTAGCAGAGTTGCGATACCCATGAGACCTGCATATGTGTTGTGTGTACGGTAGAATTGAGTTGTCAAAGTGTATAGATACGAAGGATAAAACAGGGTAAAAGACGAGTGAAACATGATTGTGTTCTATAACACTTGCCGTTTTTATTATTTTTTCATCTCAGTAATTTTGATAAGACATGTCTAAGGGTAAGGAAATACCGTGGGTTTTTGTTGACTTTATTTTTTGTTACAATTGGTGATAGTGTTATTATAAAAATATATATACTTAAGGTAATTATATAATTGAAATAAAAGTGATAGAACATAAATAATAGTTGCATCAGTGTGTTCGAGTAAGGATAACTTTGACAGAATACTTGGCTAGAAGCTGTAAGTGACATTTATGATTGAATCAATGAGTAATATATTGATATTAGAAAACGACTGATATTGTATCTCTTCAGAAAATATGAGTGGCTAAGGGTTTATGAGTGTGAGGAGTAGTTATTTAATTAATCATCAACTATTACAATTTTTTTTGTACTATTATCGCTTCTTGAAAAACATTGAAATTGACTCTTACCTACTCATTTTTCCTTGAACAATTCAGTACATTTATATGGGTCAATATTTTTGTACAATTTATGATTTAACGTAATTTTCTTAGAACTTTCTGTAAATACTAATTATTGAAATTAACGGAAATGAGAGCAATAGCAAAATCATTTTTATACAAATACATTATGTTCGTAAAATATAAAAATTAAAACTCCATTGGTAATTTGCCTATTCACATTAGCTTTGTGAAAGTACCTACCTACTTAAAATAAAGTAAGGTAAATTTATTTAAAATATTTAAATGCTGTTTATTGGTCTGGGCCGTTGCTTAAACCGGTTGTCTCCATATAAAGTACGAATTTCATATTATATTATAATACAATTTCAGTGGTGTTAGTTTGCTCGAACAAAAGTGGTTTATGGAATAAAAAAAAAATATGGACACGAAAAAACTATAACAATGGTTGCAGTGAACCGACAACTCGCACAAAGACAATAGCGTAGTATATAAAATGAAATATGTTTTTACAGTTCCTGTCGTCAATCGAAAATAAAATAATTCTGCGGTTTTTCATTTTTAATATATCATTATTTGCCTAAAGCGCATGTGTGGGAGGGCTTATGAAAAGACCGGAAGCAGAGTCTACACTGTTGTTACGGGATAGACCCTTTCGTTTTTCACAAACCTCAACCGTCGTCGTTCTATGTGAAATGAAAAAATATAAACAATTCTCGTCGTTGGTACACTGGTGGCAGTTATGGCAAATTCATTCTTTCTTCATAATAATACTTAAAATATGCCGGAAGTAAATATACACCTGGGAATCCGTTTAGTCTAACCCTTAAAAATCTCCGATAAACTACTTGTGTATGTATGTATGTATGTATGTATGTGAGAGCGAAAGAGATAGATAAGAGAAAGAGAGAGAGTGAGAGAGTATAGTAAGAAAAATGTATATATGGTTCTCGTTATTTCTGAAAAAAAATTAAACATGTATATTTGGCAGAATGTAACGGAAACACGCATATAGCCGGCGTTACAAGAAATACTACGGTTTGTGGGTGTGCTGAACACCCCGCGTGTTAAAAATCTATCGACATGTGTGCACATTGCTGTTTCCGCCTTTACGGTATATTCTCATCCCTCCTCTCTCCTTTATTCATAGTCGTTACTTCACGTCACACCACAAAGTGCCAAGAAGAACACGCAACCGTCGTAATTTCTTTAATATACCTACCACTTGTATTGCCATCATGAATCATGATACGTTGAATTAAAACTAMATAATTATATATTATACATGCGCGTATACTGATGGCATTTAACTTCACTAACTATATAGACTAACGAAAATCACTGGTAAGTTGTATTGTTATTGTGTATGCGCATATAATGCTATTATTTAATATAAAGAGTGTATAATTGGACACGCTTATATGCCTCGGAGGCGACAATAGTTTCAGCAAGCATGCGAAATCCATAAGTTATTCCGAAAAACAAACGTTAGTGTGAGTAAGATGGTTGTTTATACAATAAATGATGAAACCTTCCGAAGTTTAACACTAACATGTGATGTATAGGTGTATATATATTAAAATATTATTAATTATTTTAAACGTATATGTAATCAGTAGTTATTGACAAATAATATTCAAATTGTATTCTTTACACATATTTTATTATATATTATAATAATTGACTCAGTTAATGTAAAACTGACAGCTATGTCTAGTTTCATAATAATCATTGAATCAAGCTGTTATTTTTTTCATTCGCGCGCCCACATTACCTGGACACCTAATATAACGACACAGATCACGAGTAATAGTACYTACATGCAAAATCCATTACATGTTACTTAAAAATACTAACTGAAGAAAACCGGATTTCGTATAATTTTCCTAGATATACGTCGCTATATCTACATAGCGATTATAATACCGGTATATAATCCTTATGGAAAAACAAAATTAAATAAATATGTAGCCATACTGAGTTATCAAAAAATAACATCATGACAAAAAAAAAAAAAAAATTAAAAGTAAAAAGGATATCCTTATAACAGCAGTAGCAAGGTAAATGGATGGATTTTTGTTTTATCTGTGTACTCAGTAAATAATAATAAAAAAAATCATTATTTATTTTATGACGATTGCTTTGGGTGTTATAATACCTTTTCCCCAACGTTTCATTTATATAGTAGTCAGTCGTTAGTAAACAATAAACACTCATACATATTATAACAAATATTTGTCTGCGATAAGATAATAAATTATGTTACAATGTGTGTACAGTAAAAAAATATTTACTATAATTTAAATACAATTACTATATTGTATTTTTAAATATTTTTTGGTTAAGGGAAAGAAGAAGTTAGTTCTAATTTACTTTATTTTATAATTTGGTATATTCCTATAATGGCAGTAACGGTTATTAATATTTAATCAAATAATATTAAAAATAATAATAATAAAAAATATGAAGAATTATTGACATTTTAGGGTCACTAGGACGTCATGGGTATGCAAGAGAGGGAACGAGAATATTATTCCTTAGAGGATGGTATTCCCTACAACGATGAGGAAACATTACGAAATGTAGTAAGGGAAGCAGAAAAAGGTTACATTTGGGGCGGCAGTTGCAGCAGTAGTAGTACTATCATACGATTAAGTAGTAAAAGTATAGGAAGAAGGAAAGATCGTCGTATTTGATCCCATGGGAAACCGTGAAACTAAATATTATATTGCAACGGTGGCGGTTTTTGTATACATTTGTTAGTGGTTTTCTTCTACGAAAAACATATTACTCCATTACACAGTTAAAATTTGTGTCGTGTATACCTATTGATTATTTATACTTTTCTGAGAACTCTTACTTATTATTACTAAAACAACACGTTCTTTAATGCACACATTTCATTGATTTATTTCAGAGACCACCTTCGTCTTCACTGTCGTACGGTGGACACGGGAACGATGACCGATCTCCCGGTTCAGGAGGCACGCCTGGTCCGATGTCACAACAACCGGGATCGCAGCAAAGTCTCGACCATGGAGATCCTGGTAAGTGACGAATGTTTAATTTATATTATTATTTTTTTTTCTCCGGTAAGAAATATCACTTATCAGTAATACAAATAACATTTGAGGCGCCACTGCAAMGTTGTTCTCGTCCYGTATCTTGGGAGTTTTTGAACCCCTACGAAACGTTATTGTATCGTAACATGTTTACCTACGCGTGTATGTCACTTGAGCCTGGACACATATGTGATTCAAGTGCCATCATCTTGAGTGTTTGTCCTGCGTGTGTCCTTGTTGTTATTATATGAATGGGGGGGACAATCCCTATAACCAGAATATTATCATACTATTATAACCGTTTATTCCGATAATCATTGACGATGTACAATCTAAAATATAGATGTTTTTTTATATCAGTCTTCATCAGCGATCAGCATATTATTTCTGTGATAATATGTGAGGAGATTAACTAGAAATACGCTATCAATAAAGTGCCTCAATTATGTTTTAAAATATAGATTTTGTCGGACTGAATATTATAGTTTTATTTTTTAATTAACAATTACGAAATTCGAAAATGGAATATTATGTTGTTTTATATGCGCTTGGATTATTAGTATAACCAACTATTTTTTAGTTTATTTAACTTCAGTTATATGGCCAAATGAATAAAATTATTAACATTATATATTTATAAAGTCAATATGGTTACACGAAATACAATTTTAAATTACATATTTTAATCTTGTATTTTTATAAAAACTATTAATAATTATTACTTAAACAAATTAGTCTATTGCAACAATTCATTAATAAATCTAGTTCTAAATAATATTTTTGATTTMTMTGATAAATTTAATTTAGGAATACAGAAATTAACAAAAAACGGATTGCCTTTATAACATTATGCATAAAATAAATAAAGTATTATACATTTATGTTTTTAATTTAAACAATATTTTTGTACTTTGGGCCGAGTTCTTGGCAAAAAAAAAAAAATGGAAAAAACAATAATTTTAAATGGCAATCATATAATTTATATGAATTGTATTGTTTAATATTTAAATAAATTTCATTTTATGTTAAGAAGTTGAGCATTCAGCCGTTTAATATGTTCCGACACATCACCGTTGAAATACCAACAATTCTAGTACCACTGTCTACCTAAAAGCAGAAAAGCGTAAAATAATTTCGATGTAATATTAAAGGTTTAACTTAAACTCATCTTAGTGGCTGTTTTCAACAGGGACAAGGGGTGGTTTTGAGAGTATTTCACATGTTGCTGCTTGATATTGGTATAAAAGGAGGAAGGTGGTGGAAACTTTTAGACGCCGCAGTGGGAAAACAAACTTTCCCATCTTCTTAAAAGGTTTTCTCTTTGCTCGCTTTGCAGTTCGGTTGCTGTCTTAATACTAGTATTGCCRCCAGTTTATGGCGACGAAGGAAGCGGCAGGAGTGACGCCTTCATAATTTCAAGTTTTGTCTTCGTTGCACTTAAATRCAGAACTTGGTGTAATACTGAAAAATCATTTTATCGAGAAAAACTGAAATGTCACAATTTTTCCCTTCTTTTTTCGATTTAAAATGTTATGTACTTTTTTGCATATGGTATAGTCTAACAATGAAAATGGTCACTGTATATATTTGGAATTTTCGAACTTGTTTAAGTGTTCGGTGTATAACATTAGTTATTTTTTTACAATTGCTGCGTCAATAAAAGACATATAATATTATAATTTTTTAACTCAGGCTTATATATATTTTATTTATTTTGACGGATTAGGTTTATTAAAGTTTTATATATTTAATACTTATTAGTAAGTTATTGTTGCTTTTGTTATACAAAAAAAAAAAAAATAATAATAAAAAAATAAAGTAATAACAAAAAAATAATGATATTCGCAGCAGCAGTATAGGATGATGTTAGCCACTTTTTTTTCTTTATTTACTGATAAGTATTTTTAGTACGCCAGCCACCCCTGTCACTTGTCTCCCGCGGGATTAAATGAGAATATTAGACAGAGACGGCCTGGTCACGTGAAATCATGAATGGGTGGGTGGAAAATAACCACCACGTTTTTCTTGAAATTTGTGATCTAATTACTTTCACCTCCCCCTAAAGTCACTAAGTCTTATCACACATTTTTTACTTTCTAAAGGGGAAAAATAATGTTTCGCTTGAGCTTATTTCGTCGGTATTTTTTTTTCGTTTTATTATTGTCGTTTTATTCCTCCTCTATCAACATCTTTCCTTGCCATCAAATGTTACCCTTGGGATGCGATTTCAGAATGAAAAACAGCGGGGATATGACACCTTTTATTTTTTATAATGATTATAATATATTATAAGATGAAAACCTTCATAACACAACATTAAAACAAATATTAAACGATAATATGAAGAGTAGGTAGATCGATGTTTTTAAAATATAAAGTCTTTTATACATATTATATTATAATATATATATATGTAGGTACATAGTACTATATAAGTATTGTATATTATAAAATTTAAAAGATATTCCACTTGAAAAGTATAAAAACTACGTTTCTCTAAATGGAACTCTATAATATATTATATTGTACCTACCGGTTTGAATATTATATTATATTATTCTTAATGATATATAAGGCTATCCGACAATGCAATGGCTCTACTATTATATTATATTGTATGAAAAGAACATTTTTACCTAGTGGAGGAGACCCTATTGTTATGACGTGTATTCATTAGAAAGAGAAGCACATAACACACACTCACTCTCTCACTCACACATGAATACTGCAGCATATACGACATTATATACAAACACACACGAACATAAGGCGTAGGTATAGAGGTAGAGCTGCTTGCTTACCTTTCGACAAAAATGTCTTGCCTTTTGTTATTTTTTTGTATACCTGCCTGCACATTTTTAATATAATATATTATTTAATGCCATTATACGACCATAATACTATTCTAGCGTTTTTCCTTATTTTTTTTCGAATGTTTATWAATCACCATGCCTAGTAATATATTCTTGAATGTCTTGAGTTCTTGTTAAAGCAATGTGATAGTACTTGTTTAATCATATCGAAATTCATTAATAAATTAATTATTCACCAGTTTGTACTAAATAAGTTCTTATTTTATATTTCTTATATATACTTAAACCTATTATAATAACGAAAACAAAAGGATTTAGTTGGTGCTTTTTATTTTATGCACTTAAAGTTCTACCCCTTTTTCTTTTCATTGTTTTTCATTTTATCACCGTTGTTTTGTCAAACCAAAATGATGCATGTAAACAAAACATTAATCTCAAAACAAAGATAATTATCGTTATTATTTTTTATGGACAATTATGTTAAAAGACGACCGTAAATAAAGCAAATATCTACCTATTATGTTATTTTTTAATAAGAAAAATATTTAATCATTAGCAGCATTTGAATTTGCTATTAAATTGTTATCATTTTAATATGTTTAACAAATCTTAATTTAAAAAATCAAAAGAACAAAGTGTTTTTGTTTAGTTTATTTTTTATAATTTGTACCTATACGGCTATATATATTATTATACATTGATTGTACACCATGAGCGTAAGCTTTACTATGGAATTTCAATCTTCTCATGCAGAATATTATTTAACAATAACAACTGCTATGTGGTTAGTGTTATACGTATGTATATATATATATATAATATCCTTAAACACAATCGTGATGATGATGATGGGCGCTTAAATGATGATGCAGCAGCTACGACTATCTTGTGTGTGTGTTTGTGGAATGACCCCGAGGCGACGCGGCCATTTTTGTTGTGTGGCTGGCTTGTGCGTGCGTATGTGTGTGTATAAGCTTGTCGTGAGTACAGCTGGCTGACTGTGAGATAATCTACCGCCTATTGTTTCCAATTATTATTAGTTTAAATAAAATTAATAATTTTATTTCTTCAGTGTTTTTTTGGTTTATTTTGTCTAGGACAAAAAAAATTAAACGGTATTGAATAAGTAATAATAATATGATATAATAATAAATATAATATTTGAATCTTATGAAATTCATTCCTTGTATTGTAAATGTAATTTTTAGACGGATCAAATATCGAGGGGGGAAAATAAACGATAAAAAAAGGAGTACCGTTGTTTGGCCAAAGAATTTATTTTTTTGGTCGAATTACTTTTGAAACGGTCTTGCACCAAAAAAGAACTGCACGCCGAACAACGACTATATAGGGGACAAAAAGGTTTTTGTGTACGAGTGCGATGCTCACAACTCACACGCACGCGCATGCACACGCACAATCACACGCAAACAACGGACGTTCCTCTATAGTTCTTTTTGTACGAACGCGACCGTTTGGGTCGATGTGAAGAAGAAATTCCAAAAAAAAAATTGTTCCTACCACAACAATTACATTATGTAGAAATAACCAGCAGTCATCTTCGTTGTGTATCCGATACAAAGTATTTAGTGACGTATAAAAATTCATGGGTCGTGTGCCACAGAGTATTATAATAATAATAATAATAAATGCAGCTTTGCTGGTCTCTCTTTCTCTCTGAACGATGGCATATAGATACATGACGTGGGGCTCGCCGGTGCTGGGGCCGGTGGTGTTCGTTGCCAAACTCAATGGGGGGCTCCAATAACACGAAACAGCGGGACGTACATGGGCACATAGCCGACCGATTAAACCGTTGGTTCGAGGAAAATATATATTATTATATTATATTATATGTAGAGGTATACATGTTAAAAAAAGTGTAAATAAACCACCCAGGTAGGCAAGGTAGGCAGGCAGGTAGAAACATGCGACGGTGGCTGTGGATGATGCTGATCTTGGTGCAGATCAATGGGATACTTTAACAAAAGTCACGTCGTCTTCTCCTTCTAAAATATAATAATAATAACAATAATGGTAATAATGTTTATGCTACTTTTCTATATATATATATATATATATATATGCATACTGTAAGGTCGTCGTCGGGAAAATGTCATAAAAACGATTCACTTATAAATTTGATCGCCGCAGTGGAGTATATCTTGCGGGGTGAAGGGTGGCGACATTCACCACCGCCTTTTTAGAATTCAGCGTGCGCGCGACAAACTGTAATCTTACGGGTGTGCTCTTCGGGGATTATATTCGTTAACCCCGCCGGTGAACGTTGAAATTATTATACGTAAATTGAAATGCTATTTAATAATTATATTCGCTCAAAGCCGATCCTWACTATATTATTTTAAAGTTTCCGATTCCTATAAATTATATATGCATTTGCATGTGGAATTTAACGCTATACCAGGTGTATAATTATAATATGTTTAATATCATTTCGAACATTCTACCTATTTATAAGTTAGTGAACATTTAATTATTTTCTTAGAACTGCGTAAAATAAACAAAAGTTTTATATTAAATAAATAATATTATAATAGTATGTATACATTTATATTACGCGGAATCGGTCGATATCATTATTTTTCCCTCCCTTTATATAATATTTTAATATTATTATGTTTGAGTTGTGCTCGTTGCTTGAGAAGTACATTACAGCTGTATTATTTCCTTTCATTCTTTTCGAGTATAGAATTTGCATAATCGTGGTCGCCATCAACAACACGAATTTCGGGACTATATAATATACACAATAGTAAACAGTTGTAATGCCATCTTCCCCTTCACCGCGGTGTTTATTTTTATTAAAACTATACTATTACATTACATGTTAAATGCTGTCACCGCCCGTCGTCGTTAAATTAAGTTAGGGAATATCGATAAATATTACTTGTTTTGCAACCGATTGTCGTATAATAAATATCCATTAAAGTAGTTAAAATTATCTACATGACTGCATTTTTTATTTTATTATTATTTAAATATTATCTTAATACTACATTTGTAATATTATTTTGGTCTTTTATAAGACTTATATTTATCAATCTGTTTCGAACCGCTGTATAATTATTACTAATACTATTTTTAAGTGTATTCCGTAGACTACAACGACCTTATATAATAAATTCGTTTTTTTGGCATGTCAGTAGGACAAAACTAATATGGGACACAAATTTATTTTCGAGTACCTTTTAAATATATAGTATGTCCTCCTCTATGAAATTTATTTAAAATAAGTCCACACGAGTGGTAAGTGGAAAACAGAAAATTATTGGTATATTGTCGATTTAAATATATAATATATGTGGTTTATAAAAAACTGGGAATATTTTTGCAAAAATAATAAAATTGATATCGACGTTAACAACGACGTGTTATACGCGTTTATGATAATATAGAAACTATTATAATATGTACATGTGTATATTGTATACTTACATACATATTTAAAGTACAATCATAATTCGTTACGCGACAGGTTTGGTCCGTAGTCCACGTAAAAACGCAATTGCACCAGTTTCGTCTTTAGATATCCTCACGCGTTCGGGCGCGCACGCACACATATGAGGGAAAGCAATGAGCAAAAAATAATAATAATAATAAAAAAAAATACCTGTTAAATTTCTATAAAAAAAACAGGAATCATAATAATAAGAATGAAAAAAAGACCTAGATAATAGAAAAAAATCGTATWCATCATGATGATGTGTATACGTGTATATATATAAGTAGGTACAGAATATTATATTATACTTTATACTATAGGTATATATATTTCATAATGTGTAGTACGTATACAATGTTACACACATGATGGTCATTTCATGCATTCTTCGGAGGAAAACCGCGTTAAACCGTAGAATATTAAAAATCTTGCGTATTATTATATTTATATCAATAATAATGACGATAAAAATAATAAAAAATTATATGGAAAAAAAAACATTATATAATAAATATGATTAGAATTAGAAAATAAAAATAAATTTTACTTTTTACATACATACTAGATATATTATGTAATATATTTTGATAATTATAGACGAAGATTTTTTTTTATTATTATTATTAAATACATACGAGAATGATCTATAATACATACGTAGATTAAAAATCGAGCCTCGTGCCGGGTATAATGAGATACTGAAATATGATATAGCGGCTTATATATTAGCTTATATTTTTATACGCAAAAGGAAAGAGTATAACATTTCAAGAATAATAATTAACTATCAACGTGTTCTTATAGACCGTATTTATTATTATTAATATAAATGAGTAAATAATATTAAAATTGATTCGTTTGATACGTCGGTGTTCTGTAAGTAATAATAATTTTACACTGTATGCCGTGACCTTGACTTTTATTTATTTTACCATAAACCGGGGGTCATTATGTTCTAAGGACTAATAAATTGACCACGTGTGTTTATAAGTAGGACATGATAAATACTTATATTACCGCATCTCATAATAWTAATAACAATAACACCTAACCTAATTCTATTTTTTTTTGTGCTTTTTCGATCATGAAGCTGTAATAGGTACATTTGTACACCTACATCAGAAAAACATTGTTACATAGAAAAGATTTATAATTATTATTATTAACATGGAATGTGAATTAAATCATTTTTTTGATATTGTCTGCGTTACAGCGTGACTGTGAATTTATATTTAATTTGAATCTTACAATATCAAGCTTAGTAAATAATATTTTTAATTTTGAGTTTGAATAAAAATATCCTATGGGAACCAACGCGGGCTTTCGTTTGACATTCTTGAACAACATCAAATCCAGGAATATTTTAAAATCCGATTTATCATTGGACACACATTAACATAACTACTATACGCGAGACCCATTGTGTCTGATGACGTGTGTGTGTGTATGTATTTGTACGCGTGTGTGTGTATTAGGAGGGAACACCTGTCGTTTCGTAGACGTCTGGGGAACGACGTTTTAAAAACATAATATCAAATGGAATGAACAGGGRAAAAATATATATATACATGGGTAAGAAGTATAAAAAAACGAAACGAATTAATTTTTTGAAATAAATTATATCGCATAACCGGTTGTACAGTGGAGGGATAGCCCGCGCCGAATAATCGCGTTCGCTGTACAATGTTTTTAATTTTTCTGTGCCCTCTCTCATAATTTTATTTAAAAAATATATATAACCATATAACAATAAATATATTATGATATATATAGTATGTGCGTGTGAGAGGGGGTGGGGTGCAAGAGAATGTAATATAATTTGTACAGTGGATGTAATGGTTGTTTAAATTTTTTTTGTACGTTTCTATATAATTGAACACTTTTGTGTATTGCCATATTATTAGATTTACGAATTTKKCATATTTTCTATAATATAGCACAAATAACTATCATAATACATACATGCATGACAGGTGACATTTTCCAAAAACTCACAGACAGAAGACATCAACGATGTGTTTTAGACTGTACTATCATAATATTATATACAATTAATATGTGCACCGTATGATAAGATATGCCTATTTATACACATTACACACGTGCATTTATCTGCTTAAAAAAGACGGCAGAGAAGTAGAGAGAAAAAACTGCAACTATATACATTTATTTTATACGCATATTCACATACATTATACATACATATAATAATATATATAGTATGCAAACAGTTGAATGTAAATGTGAGTGTATATTTAAGAGACGATGACGACGACGACGACAACGAACATGAGACTTGTAAACTGGTTTTACAAATATTATATACACACACTCACACTGGCTTTATTATAAGGTGTCGAACGAGTATGCAGAACTTGGTTTCTATATATAGGAGGACGATTTTTATTGAGAGGTCCCGTTGTCTTTGTTATTCCACAATTTCTTCATTCCATGTATTAGAGACGAAACATATCTTTTCGTTTAGTTTATTATTTTACTTAGTTTGTTTTGTAAAATGTGGGAGAAATTCTTTTTGAATCGACWCGAACGATGTTGCATTCCTCTTATATTATATATACATTTATATGTGAGTGTACAACAGTCGATGGGATGATGATAATAATTGTTAAACCAAACGTTATCTACATGACCCATCAACCCATCGCCAGAAAGAGAATACAAGAAGAAGAGAGGAAACATGCAACATTGAGAAAACGAAAGTATAACCTATGGGATTTAGAAAACGCGGCGGGATACTGTAGCAGCACGGCACAGCACAGTGCTCTGTACGCTAACTGAAATAACATCTGGATCTGACAGCATTCCTTTAGCCGTCCATTGTATGTTATTGAGTCGCCACGTATTTATTTTTCCTAAGGTTTTTTTGACCTTTTCGACTAGAGTCTTCTCCTAATATGTAGCGCCACAGCGAAACGGTAAATGAAAACAGCCGCCCTGGTATGTCGATATTCCGACGTTGACAGGCGCTTTTCTCGCCGCACGATATAACCGTCCAACGCAGTGTTAGGGTCAAATTGTGGAAATATTTCTTCCGAGATATACACACACAYACGTATATACGTGACTTTTAAGTTTTTATTTATACATGCGTATGTGTCTTAACCTAAGTAGATCACATAAGTACATCGGGTTCAAGTTTCGATTTTTGATTTCGTTGTGGGTTTGTACTACCAATACTGCCGTAGTGCCGTGCGCGTTGAGGATTTGCGTATAGTGCAGCCGGCCACACAAACGCATTCGAATATCGCTTATATATACAATAATATAACGGTAATAATTATGTTTTACCTATAGCGTTAAACAACAACGCCCATCATTATATAGACATAGAACAAAACGCGGTGGTCCTATGGTGGAAACAAGTGCGATTGTTATCTTACGTCATGGCCATAACCACGCCTACATTTCAACTACTTACGCTGTATATATAGTGTTGTAGATCTCATAATAATATTTATACCTACTGCTGGTGCTACTTTAGAAAAAAAAACTAAAATGATTACCAATTTTTATTTTTATTTTTTTAATAATTAAAATTGATTACTTTCGAATAATGCATTATAATGATTATACAATACCGCATAGCCATATTCAAAACAAACGTATTAATAAGATTTTTTTTTTTCAGAATTGGGTAAGTGTACAATTAAAGTCGATCAACGCTTTTACGGTGATAAGACATTCCGCGGTAAGTAAACGACGCACTTTTCTTCGTCTAATGTCCGTCCAACACTTCAAAAAATGTTTGCCCGTGTTTTTATTACACTATTTACATTATATTAATTTAATAYGACATTCGGGATTTTTATTCGATCAAAAATGAATATTTGCTTCTTGGGTCTTTCGTTGCACGCGCGCACCATCATCGTCATCACATATACATTGCACCTATAATACAACCAGGGGTTTTATCGTCAACGACGCAATGGAAAAGTTCCATTAAATCCGTCTTGACTGTTCAAGTCACGTTTCCTTCTCCTCTCATAAAAAGTACGGTTTTGCATTTTTTTTTTTACCTCGCCTGCTGAATAAAATACTAAAAAAATCCACATGCATTCATTTTGTATACCTTCGCGTGTACTATCCATAAAGGTATATATACTCGTAATGTGTGGTTTTCCGCTTTGTGTGACTACATGCTGTGTGTTCCATGGTTAAAAGAACAAAGCTGCGTTTAAGTCAATCAACTTGTGCGGCAATCCCCCTTTTTGGTTTATTTTATTTTATTTTTTTCTGCAGTGGGATTGCTCGCACGCCCTTAAATTGATTGCAATACTCGTCATATTATACGCGTGCAACTTTCTTTCTGTATAGTAGGTATTTGTTGTTTATCGTTATTGACTAATCTGTTTTTATAGCTTATTTATCTTGACGAATTGACGTTTTTAAATCGATTGTATTTTTTTTATGACTTACTTGATTCGATGCGCCTAAACGTATAACGACGTCCCTACCCACAAATTAAATATATTCTCGACYTCATAATATTAAATGCACATATTATTATTATATTATACTACAYCGTGTTATGCATAAATTTGTTAAATATAATATAATATTTTTATATTTTCGGGCAAATAGACTCATTCTGTTTACAATTTTTAAGTTATGTTTGTTTTAAATCATTAATACTAATATTCATTAGACAAATTCAACGCCGTGTCTTAGATTTTCTTATAAAATTATATTTATGTATATAATATATTTATAGAGAATACAATAATATTAATGGATCCAAACGAATTACGCCCAAAACGACGTTGTAGAGGCTTTTAGAAGTATAAAAAAAACACCGTCAGCGCCCTTTAATTTATTAAGCGAATGGATTGGATTATGTTTTTTCATTGTTCTTTTTCTAAGTGCTTTTGCCGGGGCAGCGGTGTCAGTAGTGGYAGAGTAGAGCAGGGGCCAGTCGATATTTTCACTTATCGAATTATATGTTTTCGTGACCGCCGTTGCGCCGTAGTATTTTATATATGTATATATATAATATGTATATAGTGTGTATACACTATACGTGTTTTATATGTATATTGTTTATACATATATATATATACATATGCATGCGATGTGCAATCATATTGTGTTTGTATGTGTGTGAAGACGTTAGAGAAGGGATGATGGAAAGAAAAAAAGACCCATTTACGTGGTAGTAGTCTATATTATGTATACCATTATATTTCCCCGGGGCAAGGGGATTGTCGTGAGCTGAAATTAAAGTCTACATGGGGCAAATAATAAAAAGTAAAAAAAACAAACTTGTCGAGGTGAAATATTTCTACGTTCTCGTTATCCGAACGAATGTGGGCYGTGAGTTAGTTATTCGTTTCTCGCTTCTTCTCTATTTTGTCTTATAAAAAATGCGCGTGTAATGCATCGTACGATTYTTCATTATTATTTAGTATACCAAAAATAATAAAGATTACTTTCCTTTTTTTCTTCATATTTCCAATAAATTACGTTATATTTTAATAATCTTATGTACATGCTATCTGAATATTTTTTTTAAAAGAAAAGCCCATATTCTTTTGAATATTTGATATAAAACATTGATCATTTTAATTTGTATTATTTTCATATATTACATGGTATATACGCCGAATAAATTATAAAACGTAACATTAAAAAAAGCGGACGCATCCTAGATGTACCTATAGCAGTTCTTTTTTCACCAACAATATTAAAAACCACGCAGGTAAAAACATTATCGAAAGAGCACGCCCACTATAACCGGAAAAATAACGCATTGTCGATGCTTAATCATCATATTTTTACATGATACTCACTGTCGATAATTAAATTTTAATTAATTTTGAAATGAATATATTATAATCATAATTATTAGGCGTTGATACCATCTTCCGTATATTTTTTACCTCGTAATACCAACAGTAGCGGCATAATATAATATAGTCTCTCACCAATATACATTAAGGTATATATACTTCAGCTAGTTAACTCAATAAAAATATTGTACAACACCTATAAAAATTTAAATTATATATGTACGCAGTACGCACACGTAATGTATTAAAATTGAACCGATTTAATAATAAGAATAAGCAAAATTTTAGTTCAAAAAGAACAAAGGTAATAAAATACAACATTATTCGGGATTTCTGAAAACAGTATTGACTTTTTTTTCGTGTGACCAAGTCGCGTGACAAAATCCATTGGATAACAATATAATACATATAATAACATATAATAACATCACGACGTCTACCCAGTATTGTTTACAAGTGGAAAAACTCGTGAGATCGCTTGTCGTCGTTGTGCTTTGCATATTATTATTATTTATATATGGCRCAATATTACTATTTATTAATAATAATAAATTATTATTATTGATACAAGTGGTTGGAGGGGGAAGACTTGATGTACAGAAACACAACACGTCCCAAATCACTGTATTAACATAAACAATCGGCTATTTAAATTACAATCTCGATCGATTTCGATTTTATTGACAATGGTTTTTTTCTTAATTAATATTTGATTATAAAACGATTGGTCTTAATTGCGATATACGCACGCTGCTCGCACAGCGGTGCGGCGACGCAGCACAATCACGAATTAATTTTACTTCCGTTATTATGATAATATTATATACATTATGTATACGAACTGATGGAGAATCCTTTATTAACTCTTCTGTTTTTCTTCGATAGTCCGATAAATTGTAAATTAACCCCCATCATAAATATWTATTTATTGATTCGTCTTCAGTTTTCAATAAAAAAATTCACTATACAGAGTACAGACATACAGTTATTTAAATGTACCGAAATTTATTCTAATATTGTGACAATCTCTCACCTTGACGTGAGTGTGGAGGGGGGGGTATAATGTTAATACATTATAATACATCTAACGTTTTTATAGAGGGCGGAAACGGCGCAAGCTTACCAGTGAGTATTTTTTTCGACGACACTYTTTATTGTACCCTAAAATTACGATTGTAAAATAAACAATTACAGTTATTACATCACTACTATGTACCTATTATCTCTGCATGTAATGGTAATTGGTAGTTTCACCATAGCCGCCTCCATAATAAATGGCGTGACGTATTTTTGTCGAATCGCTGCCGTCAACAGGGAGTTGGTAGCTTTGCTCTGTGTTTCCTTGCAGTCGTCATGTCAAAAGATTAATGTCATTACGGTATTATGATGAGGAGACGCACGTAATTACAGGATACGATACAACTGACCGAGCAATTGTACACCTCGCGATCACGCAACGATCATCATCGCTTTGTTAACCATTCCAATTATCATAATATAATTTTTCTTCAAACTATGAATTATAACTGTTATTGTTATTATTATTAATATCATTGTTATCAATTTCGGTGGTTAACCTTTCGTAAATTAAATTAGATGATTTCTTCATATTAGGAAAAGCATAGAGTTATATTTACCTATATAAATACCTATAGGCTATATTATTGTATAAACAATATTGCGTAAGGTTAGGATAGATTAACAATAAAYGTAATGTAGAATCAACGTGCTCTAATGTTCATAATATATTATTTTTTAGTTCAAATTAGTTTCTTCAATATTATTGTTTCATATCGTTTTTTTTACTCGTACGGTATTATATAGGTACCTAATTGATTCAATTCTTGTCTATTCTTGTTTTCAAATRTATTTAATTTCTATTGGAAATTATATATTTTATATTAATAATGTATATATACGTTGTACAACAAAAATCCATCAACTGTAATTGAATTTGCGATATGATGGTGTTAGTGGATTTTCTACTGCGGCAAAAACAAGAAACATTAATATCCCTTATTAACGTCAGTATAGGCCAAACAAAGTACTTCAGTTTCAGTTTTATACAGGGWCTACATTTTGAGATTAAACCTTAATTTTCTTATCTTTCTTGGCAGTTTATTAAATATATTTTTATCCATAGCACGAAATTATATCTTTTTCCATACATTTTTACGAATTAATAAAACAAAAACACAATTATATATATTTTTATTATACTACATCATGAAAGAATTAAACACGTGGTTTAATATTTATAATAATATGATATAGACGGTGTAGTCTTAGAGATAACCATAAAAAAATTGAAAATTAAAATTTTTTTGTTATTTTCGGTACGWATAATATACATATATAGTATATACGTAATATAATATATATATAAATACACATAATAAATACAAAGAGTAACGATCACATTTAATGAAAAAACTCATAATCGTGTTATTGCAGTAACATATGAAACTCTTTATAATATAAGATTTCCTCGAGAATTTATGCGCTTATCATGATATAATATAATATATACTCGAAAAAAGTTATGTTTGTTAAATTTGTGTGAATTCACTTTTGAGTATCGTCAATTTTGAAATTTTTCCACGAGGRCTGAAAGYTGCAGTTCTAGCGGTTTTTATCATACAATTTATTTTTGCATCATCTTCGACTCGACGTGAAATAAATATACATTAGATACTATGTATCTCCCCACCTCGATCGCAACCTCAACTGAAATAAAAAATTGTATTAGAAACGCCGGAAGCTGTTAAAGCGTGTGTATACCCGCGATTATTCTACCACGACAAAACAGGACACGACGCGATGAGAAAAACCGTGGAGAAAATCATCGTCGTCGWCGTGGCAGTATATATAGTAAATAGGTGGGTGTCTTCCGGTAACGGACACAATAAAAATGACACACACACACAAACAAACACATAATTCCCATGATTACCACCACGGAGAATTATTTTTATTTCTTTATAGAATTAAAGAAAACTCGTATATATAAATGTTAAAAGCCGGCTGTGATGGCTCATTTAACTCGGCAGCGACGGTGGTTATCTGCAGTGTTGGTGCTGTAGTAATGCTTGGACCGAATCTCGTATACAATACGCATTTACACGCATAAAATATAGAAGGGTATATGTACCACGACCTATGTATTCAATGTAGATACTAATCGAACAAAGATATATTTGTAAGTGATAATATGAGTTTACAAACCGGATATATTGTGATTATTGTCGGTACGCCGTATAGTAAGAATTAGGAAGAAATTGTGTGGAACGAAAACGATGAATGATGGTAATTTTATATATATAATAATAATATTTTCACGTTGATATTACTGTGAACAAAAAGATATAATATATTAATATAATAACGTGTCACGTCTTTATATGTTATATTTTAGTGGTGTGGGGCAGTAGAAATGGTGCAGTTCCGGATATAAAATAATATTATGCAATTGACAATTTCATCACATTCTATTGATTTTTTAAGTATAAAAAATAAATTCATCAAATAAACATTAAAATTATTGCGGTACGGCCGTTACAAATTAAAAATACATACATTATATGTATTATATGAACGAACCACCGATACGTGTATACATAATATACTTGCATATTATAACACGTAAAAAGAAAACGTGGTGCGTGAATATAACACTTGTAAGGTTTCTATGCACCTAACATTTTTATATTATTAATAATTATATCATCATATTATTATATACACGATAGCCGCGTATAGTGTGTCACTCGTGCGAACAACATAATAGCTAAGTATCTATTATTWTATATAGTAACGTCTTATAATAATATAGCGTTGTAATTACCTCCGTGTGTGAGATAATGTTATTCGTTAAAATCTGTTTACGGCAACGAAAGCGGCGACGATTATTGTATGGTAATTTCTAAAGGAGTCTACTCTGCAGTTATACATTAATATATGTATGTATATACAAAAGAGAATGGAGACAGTTTTTCTTACCATATATGTAATATGCCGCGGTTGTGTTTTTCTTGCTTTGATTCTTTTATTTTTATTTTATCTTACATCTTATCTCTTTTCTTGGTTGAGGAATGAAAAATCGAAAAATCGCCTTTCGTCTCGTAATTGGCAACTTGTGTACCGCGCGCGAGTTTCGTCTCATTGCGTTCATCGTATTATTATACTAGATAAAATATTGTGAATAACAATTTATTGTGTACAATGTATATTATATCTTAAGCGTTTTGTACGGAGAATATATTATGAATGCAGACAAAAAAAAAAGATTGTATTATGAGAATCATACTTACGAAGAGACGACGACGATAGCCAAGTACAGTTTTCAAATGTCCAAAATTCGTGACCAGTCGCGTCTCTATTCTTTCTTAATGAAAACATTAAAATATATTATACATGCACTGTTTTTTAAACGTATATTATATCGTACACATATATTATATTTATATTATATAGTGTGTCCGATGAGTTTGTGAACTTTGTAAACGTTCCTTAGTCTTGTCGAGGTCTCCACACATTCCGCACACTCGCTGCAGTTGACGTGTATGATCATCATCGTATGCGCAGTTTGCTGGGCCATTTATACACTTTGTACGTATTATATTGTACACTTCGACCATACTATACCYAATATATGTAATGCGTCGCGTGTAGAAATAATGGAACTCGTTTAAGAAAATGAATTTTAGTTCGTATTATTATTATTGTTATTATTTTCGTTTCTTTTTCTTCTTMTTMTTATTATGTATTATTATCATTATTATTTTTATTACCATCGCGCGCTGGCTCCGGCCCCGTAACTTTACTACACCGTCATCTTTATAATGATGAACATCATCATCATTGCGTATAGTCGTCTCAGTCGTCGTGATCATGGTCGTCACGAGGGCGTCTATTTCGCGTGTGCACGTTGTCAGAACTTATTCCACTCTTCATTGCCTCCTCGAGCCGGTAGTATGAGTTTGACCTCTTGACTCCGTACTCTGTGCCTGGATTGGCGTGTGAGAGACGCATGGACGTATCGCGTACGTCTTTCTCTACGTTTCTCTCTCGGAAAAATAAAACACCTGTCAATCATTGTAACGTGCGCGCATTACAGTACCATTGGGATATAATAATAATATAATAATAATGATAATAATAGTAATAATAATAATAACGATAATGATAACATTATGATAATATTATTATTAAAATCATTTTTGTACTTCTATCATCCGACTATATTATAAACATAATATACTGTATACGAGTACACAGTACACACACACACACTTTTTTTAGTCGACTGACAGCTTGGAGCGTTTTTATTATTATTATTATGATTTTACTCGTTTCAAATCGATGGAGCCCCGCTGTAAAAATTTAACCGCTCATAATGCGTATATATACATATTTTGTATCCAAAAAATACTAAATTGATTTATGGGAATATATTTTTAAAAATATATAGAAGGTCGACACCGCAGTAGGATTACCTGCATGCAGTCTAAGAGGAGATCTAAGAACRGTTGACTCGGCGGAGGTTGTTGTAACCGCCTAGAGGGAATTTTGATGTATTTTATTTTGAAAAATGTTAATCTTTAAACTTTCAAAAGGTAATAATAATAACAATGATAAATATTATATTACATCGTTATTTATAATGATTTAAATATTTTCCGTTGAATTATTTTTCTCAATCAATATTGCTTAGAACGTTTTTTTCCGAACGTGAATTATTCCACGTGGAATATTGTACGATTCCATTCGATTCTTATACAGCTATGAACACAAATCCAATATGTCATTATTTTAATTTTTGGTAGGTATTCGAGAGCGAAACGCTACATATATAATGTAAAAATATGTGGAGGTCAATTGTTTTTTGTTCTTATTGTGGATTTGAAATATTGCGCGTACCGGTATAATATCGTTTCAGACATCGTCGTACGCAAAGTCGTGTTCTATACGCTCTCTATGATAAAATTTTACAGAATAAACACATTTGGCCTTATTTGTTGTAGAATAATAAACGGCGTGTTGTTCACGCACGTGCATATAAAATTTGATGACGGGTGATGGCACATTTTGTATTCAGTGTACAACGAAATACACGACATCTGGCAATACAAAGTCATGACGTGACCGGATTTTTTTTCTTTCTGAAAAGTCATCACTGCCGATCGTTTCGGTTATAATATAGAATGTTTTTCAATTAAAATGACGTCGAAACAAAACGTTTTTAGGTTTTAGCATGCTAATATATAATTATCGATTTTCGATACGCGTTTAATCAATTATATCTTTATATAATATATGTATGATATCTACTGCATATATATGACGTAAACCAATCGCCTCTCAGTTATACCTATATAGGCTATAAGTCTATTATTATAATGTACCTATATAAAACACGAAGTTATACGTGTCAAATAGTATTATGTATATTGTTGTAGATGTGTTGTATTATATATGTAATAATATAATTGATGGTACTGATTCGAAACAAATAAATAATCATAGAAATGTCATATTTTTAATGTATATATATATGTACAGTAGGTACACACTCACAAAAGTGTGCGCACTCAACATAATATATAAAATATAATATATAATATAGGTACATAAAAAAAGTATTTTCTTTATCATCGCCGTAAGTATAAAATAATGTATACGATTGTAGTGGTTTTAATAGATTTTTTTCCAAACTCGTAATTATCGCTTTCGAAATCTCCTCCCATAAATACAAATAAATACCCCTTCGGACGACAGCTCGTAACAGTCGAAATGGACATGACAGATATTATTTTTTTTCAACGTTTTACGCGTTTAAAAATACCAGTTTTAAAATTATAGGTTGTCTTGTCCGACTTAATTCTTTCTTCACACACAGGCACATCTATATACTTACACATACCTATACSAATATATGTTACACAGACTTAAAGATTATTAAAAATATTATTTAGTCAGATTAAGTGATATTTCGTATTATTATTACAAATTTAGATTTTTTTGTTCTTGAATTATAATGTATTACTATTAATTCAACGTTATTATTCGGTTTATTCGTCGCATATATTTAGTACAATGTTGCTTGTTTTATTTGTAGTAAAATCAATGTTAATKTAATCCGATTGTTCGTATTTTCAGGAAAATGGTGTCAAAGGCGAGATTGGCCTCCACCACTAGACGCGCGAGCGGCATCAGCTGCAGAAGCGGCGAAACGCGGTCTTCTGTATCAATCTGTGTTCCTCGGCGGTAGYCCAAATGATTACAACTCGTGTAAGTACCCACATATAAAATAAATTGTATTCACATTTATTCCAAATTTAATAGGTTACTGGTTAGGTTCTCCATTAATGACGGGTTTTTTAAATATATAAATGGCCATGAGTTAAGGTATTTACTGGCCGTCAATAAGGGTTTGTACAGGATCGCCACTAAAATGAGCATTTGACGTGTACGTTTAGGTTTGTTGTGTCCTTTATTAAATAAATAAAAAAAAAAAAATGGAAAACCCCTGTCAAAAAGTATCAGGGGTAATAGAGGATGTAAAGGAGAGAGGGATGGTCGAGTAGTGAGTGAGCGGGTATGAGTGTGGAAACATTTCCCGGTTTGCCAATGTTCGTAGTCGTCGTTGCCATGGAAAACCTGGACCGCGCGAGCGCCGTGCGTTGCGATGCAGTCAACCAGGCAGCCATCCATCTCTCTCTGGTATATATATATATATTATATATTATTTTAGTTGTCGGCGACGATATAATGTCTGTCTTGCCATTTTTATTCCGCATACATTTCGTTGAAAATATTTGTTAACTGCGTAGGGCACGTGTATACGCGATATCAATTAAAATATCTTCTGACGTCAACTTTTCATTCAGAATGAAATACGAAACCTATTGAATACTTATTAAATATTTTGATACAATTGTATTTATAGTTACCTAATAAATGAGCAAAAAATAGATAAATATATGAAAGTCAGATAAATTTATATTTATACGTACCTATTATTTGTAGGCACATCGTGTTACTATACGTTTAATGTTTATTGTTTACCAATGGAGTGTTAATATTTTTGTTTGTTTCAAACTCCTACAAGTATTGATAAAATATCTTTCTATTTTATTTTAGTTTGTATATTTCGAGTATCATAAGTTGTTAAGTAGTATTTCACGAATTATTTTATTGTTATATAAATAGATAAGGTTAGTAGTATTAAGTAACSATAGGTAACCTATCAGATTCAGAGGTACCTATATCTAAAGTACGCGTGAGTTACATTATTATTTTTTATTTAAAACTGGATTAGGTATTGTAATAATGGTGTAAAGATGGTTGTGTTAGCGATGGYTATAAGATATATACAGAATAACGATAATAATAAACCCCCTAAGGAATAACTATTTGTGGTAGTGGGGTCCAGCTGGTCTCGAAGGAGCCAATTACTGCTGTTGCTTCGTATATCCCAAAAGAGATTGATTGACCAATCAACATATAAGTAGAAACTTTGAACATGAACTTAAAGAAACATGAAACATTCGTCTAAAAAACACCATTATAATATAATATAGGATGGAAGTTGTGATCGTTATTGACCYCGAGAATATGTTATTTTTTTAATAGAATAATTTTATATTATATATGGTTTATATAGATTATGTTGTAATTTAAAATATCTATGTATCGATAATAACGATATAAGATGAATGTGATACCTATGTTAATAAAATAAATAAATATTGCTTGAATGCTCGAATGTCAATATTTTGTTGTCATACACAGCCGCMAAAAAAATAAAGATGACCATTGTGGAATGTACCGGTAACTCATATAGATGTGTATGGAAATATCCAGATGTTGAGATTTATGTATCATGTAATATGTAAAGGGCTAGAAAGAAGTGAAAATACGATTAGCGGTAGGTACTTGTAACCGCAACCGACGGAACTTTTTTTCGTTTGTACTTATTTTCTCTTTATACTYGCTGCATGTGACAGCTACTACGTGGGTTGGTTGCCCGCGTACCGTTTTCAGGCTGACAACGGCAACGACGACGATGATATCAAAAACAGCCCATAAAGTGAGGAGGTCTCAATTATAGTATACATATATATATATATATTATACCATTCAATAAGGGTAGGAATAGGGTGATTGTGTGTGCGGAATGGAGGTGTATAGTTGCGCGCACCGGACCACTGGTAAAACGGAGGTGTGTTGGTGACAGCCAGGAAATGAACGAACGCTGGTCACCCCCTTATTCTCGTTTCGGTTTTCGTTAACTATAATACTATATCAAATAATATTGTAGTTATCTTAGGTTGGAGAAAAAATATAAAATAAACACTGTCAGGGCTTATATTAAATTTATTTACGAAAAAAGAGACATTTTGTTCCCACGGTTAGAATTGTAGGAGTTATAGGACAATGTTTTGGACTGGTCCCTATAATAATATAGAGAGGATATGTTATCATATTTAATTAGTAAACTGATGTCATTTCGTCCGAAATGTGTTTGTTTTCKTATTTTTTCTTAATTCGTATTTTAGAAGTAATATCATTCTGTAGCCATTACTTATTTCTATATGCATAAATTCTATTATAGCTCAACGTTCAAATAATAGACAAATCATTTTTATCAACATTTCTCTTTCATTATTTTTAATTAAAATCCAAATATTACTAATTATGACTATAATAATTTACAACTATATTTACCGTAAGGTACATCCTTGGTTTTCCTCTACCAAAAAGTAATGGCTATTATTCATTATTTTGATACAGAGAATTATTTACAATCAATATAAAATCGAAAACATATTCATACACTTATAATTACGAATTTGGTGCATTATTATCATCTTATGTAAAGCATTCCMAAGAAAAATGTCCATCATATAACAAACGTTTCCTCGTTCTAATTGTTCGATTGCAGTAGTTCACTAGACGTTTTTTTAATATAGGTGCATGCTAGTACAACGTTATCATWTTAAAATATTATGTTTTAGAGTAATATTCGTTAATGTATTTATGATTTTTTTTTGATTAGTTGTTGTATGATATAAATACATTTGAGTAAACAATCATTGCAAATAACAAAATTGAAAACATATTTATTTTTCTGAGAATGTTATGCGATTGGCGTCAATTCCATCATTGAAAATGTATCGATTCATTTTATATTCATATATGATGTAGCGTACCTATATAAAATACATTCTTTAATCTTTATTATAGCCATAGATGGTTTACATCAAATTATTAAACTCGCTGGTCGCACGTTTATAATATATTCCATTATAGTCGGGGTCGTTGTCGGTCTGCAGGCATTTTTTGACCTTAATCATATTATATAGTGTTGGTGGCCAGATTCTCTGTCTCTCTCTCTCTCATTATGTTATTTTCGTTGTTGTTGTTTTTTTTTTAACTTGTTTCATCTCGAAGGCACCGCCACCACCGTCATCATCATCATCATTATCATCATATTTTTGTGGTTAATTCTCTCTCGACATTAACGTTGATGTATTACAATAATATTCCGTTTATAAGACTTTCAAGTAATTTTTAACGCTATTATTTTATTTTTTAGTATGGACCTCAGGGGTTGAGATTTTTTTCTTATATTTCATGTCGCTAAACCCTTTGGTAAATTCTTTTAGACCACGATTAAGATTATTATGATTATTATTATTATTTTACTATATTATATTATACCGTTTATATAATTTAATATCTGTACAACTTACAATGGTTATTATTCAACATAGTGTTTACAGATTCAGTGAGAATAACTAGCTTATAACATTTTGAATTATATCTAACTATACTTACCCATTAGTTATTGTACGCAGCATTGCGGTTGCACTATACCTACCTATATTTACAATTTAAACTCATTATAGTCAATCATTCTCATAAAGGTCGTGATGTAATATTTATATTAATATTTTATACGTTTACATGTATGTAATCTCATGTTGTGCACTGAGTTCGATTTCATTACTTGTTATTTTCTTTTTTAGTTTTAATGGCTGCTTCGTTTAAAGTCGTTGTCCATAAACTCGTTTTCTCTTGTCTGTTTAATATGCCGCCGCCCATTTTCTTTGACCAATCCTTATAACGTAAAACATCAACATGTATAGGTTAGTAAGTTATCCGTAAAGGAAATATTCCTATTTGATTGTTTATTAATTTTTTTAATATCAGGTGAGCTAATCGATATTTAATGAATGATGATTATTAACGTATTCGATTCAGAACAATTAAAAATGAGCAGGAAGTACCTACCTATATAGATTATTATATATTGTGTAGGAAGGTAAATTAATATTAAATAAATTCGATTCAACGCCATAGTTTTAAGTTTGAATTCAAAAATAGAACACTTAAAAAGAAAAAAATCGTCATGACCAAAATCCCGTGTTTAATTGACGTGCAACAAAAACACATTAGGAGGGGACACGCATGGTGCTGCAGCTTAACTTATAATAAATTACGAATTCAAAAGTTGAACTCTGACAATGATACGGGACGACGGGTCCGCCACAACGACGCGCGGTCGAGAGAGATAACCCTTCCTTCCTAATGTGTTTAGGGGGTCAGTCCCTCGGATATAATATTGTAATCCAATCAAATACAAACAAACACCTAAACCCATTAGATAAACAGTTTTTACTCCTCACCGCCACTATACCACTACTGTTGTTTATTTAGTGTGTATGAGTCATTACACACTCTATGCTATATTATATGCAGCCGTATAATATGTTTATGTCCCCAACCACCAACTATTTCTTATCTGGCGCAGTGTGCAGCGTAGCTGCTTTATCTACAGTCAACATTAAAACAACGCAATGAATGCGCATTTTGGTTTTGTTGTCATTTTTTTTTATATATTTATATATATATATATATTTACGTACATTTATAATACTATATACGTTGGCGAATTTAAATACAATTATTCCTGTCGTGCAATAAAATGTCTCAATTCTCGTCGTTATCGTTGTTAAAACTAATTAAAATTAAATTTTTACGTAGCTTAATTATTAAAATTTGGCTGGTTTTATTTGTTACTGTGAAAATATGTACGTCCCTGCAGCTGAAAAATTGTTCAGCTTTTTATTGAAAAACGGTATTCGAATAAAACGTTCTCTTGGAAATGTTCTGCAGCATCTAGCCACGTATGCACGTGGTGTTGGTGGAAGGTGGGGGTGGTAGAGGTCCCTTATCGTTCGTGTATATAATGTTATCCACCGTCACCACGACTTGTGTGGAACGGTAAAAGGTGTGTATATATATATACATACCATAAGGGAGAACAGAGTATGGGCAGAGATATTGTTTTGATTGTGCGCTTGTGTGTGGGTGTGTGTATAAGTTTACATATATATATATAATATGTATATGTATGCGTGTGTATTCTGGCTGGCAAAGTGAGTAGAAGGAGAAAGGCTGTAGGATTGATGAAGGGGTGGGTAGCAGTGATTGATCACCTTCTGTAGTGAATCTGATAGCGACGGTGCACATTTACCCACCACCAGTGCCGCCGGCGTGGGTGAACGGCGGAGGCTACAAGCTCTACGACCCCTAACTTCCGTAAAATTACCAATTGCACGCGCAGACAGACGAATTTATAACCGTAGGCTCTTTTCATTTTTTTTTTTTAATTAAAAAAAGTCAAAACACTTTTGGTGTTTTATATTCGATATTATTTTTAATATACACGAATTTTAAGTATGTCTTCTTATAATATTGACAAAAAATTCTTTTTTGATTATTATTAAAAAATAAAAGGTAAAATTTGCATTTTTGACATTGGTTACTTACGCATAATAGTAATTAAAATAAAATGAACCGTTATGTTATGTTTTGTTTTATTTACATAGGTGATGCGAGTAATGCCAGTGTCGGCAGTGGTGATGGTACGGGTGAGGATGACGATGATCCCAGTGGTGGGAAAAAGAACCAAAAGAAAAGAGGTATATTCCCAAAAGTGGCCACAAATATACTCCGAGCGTGGTTATTTCAACATCTAACGGTAAGTTAATACATTTCAATCATTAAACTTTGAATATAATCCTACGATTTTCTCCAATACGTTTTAAGTAATGTGTATTAAACTATTACACTATTTACTAAAAATGCTTAATTGTTAAATGTTTACTTTTCTTAATAATAATTTAATACATGGATTTTAATGTCCGGACTCTAAATTATAATTACATCATACATATAACTTGTTTGAGTAAACATTTTCCACGTGTTTGGTTGTGTTTGCATGCATGGTGATTTATTATGACGTGTATAAAGAAACGAATAAACTATATTATAACGTTTCTACCTATAAAATAGTAATTATTATCAACGCACGTTTTCGAAATTACGTCAGTTCAAAACGTTTAATTGGAAAATGTGTATACTAATACGTCAAAACGTATTACATTATAGATATTCCATAACGTATAAATATGTATAATCATTGTTTGATGCGTACTGCTTTGTGTCCGATTTAAATGTATCTACGTTTGAACCATTGTTGAATCACAAAATGTTGATTTTAAACGCAAGGAACAACATTTACTGTGCTGTTAAAATTCCGGTATTAACTTCCATGGGACACGTGTTGTTCCAGTAGAATTGTCATTGTTTGGAATTCTTTGTTTTATTATGGCACGCGAGAGAATTTCTGAAATTTAATTTTGTTCGCCAAGGGAGAATAAACTAGCAGTGTAATTTATCCATTTGGATACGGATGTTTGTCGCAGAAAAGTTTCCTTCAGTGAAACGAGTCGGTACCGAGACCTAATTAAAAACGCCCGAGTTGTGTATAACTGGTGGCAGTGACGTACCTACCCTCCTTCGTGCACTGTAGCCCCAGTTGCGTTCAGTATACTTGTCGTAAAAAGGGGTAATTAAAGGGCCCTCTTGTATAAAAGGTAAATTTTCGTTTGAAATTAAATTTTGCATAACAATTAGCCGTTTCTACCACTATCACCGCCACTGCTGCTATGGCGCTTTCATGGAGTACCAGGTGTTCAGAATGTATTCACGTCCTTCATCTTGTCTTGAGGGGTGGAGCGAAAACTCTGTCGAGCTTTTCTTTGAGCATTAAAATTCATTTTATACCAACTCAATGGAAATTATTAAACCTTTATGCTTTTTTACACTCTCCCATTTCGGTTGGTAAATTATAATTATTAGGTATGGAGTGCGATCAGCGAAAGAGAGGAAGATAGTCAACGTGAAAATATAAAAACTGAGATTTCTGTTTAACAATCATATTATACTTCTTCTAATTATACTTAGTACAAAACTTTTTGTTGTTTATAATTAATTCATACTTTTTACATTACTGGAATATATGAGGTGCCTATATACTTACAGGTTTGCGGGTTTCGTCATATTTACATTTAATATTTCTGGCCATTAACCTATCTAAGTGTTAACGTTATATTTTTCTATATAAAATAAACTTACTTTAAATTATACAGCTCTCTTTCTCTCTTTAAAAAAAATTGAATTAATTTTAATATATTAATTTTATTAAAATAGTCGATGTAATTCCAGTAAATATGTAAATGTAATTTTATCGAGTTCACTTGTAATGGATAACCATATTTTATTAGACCGTTGCTATGTTGAATTCGTTGTTTTTTTTTATTATTATTATTATTTGAATTGCARTTTAGCATACGAAACGAAATAGTAACATTTTATTTGATACATTTTTTTCTTTTTTTCAATTTTGATACTCGACTACGTTTTCTTTTCGCTCTATATACACAAGATAAAAAACTTCGTTTAATTTATGCGTTGATAATACATATACACGTTTATATATATATATATAAATAACAGGATATAGGGAGATAGAGAAAAAAGAGAGATAGCGAGCGAGGATGTGGCTGTGGCTGTGGGATTCAAATGGACATTTGGAATTAGTTATATTTTTATCCTTCTCTCCTCATATATTTATGTATATATATACACCCACCCCTTTTTTCCCGTACCAGTCGGCACCATTCCCCGTTGCCGTTGGTAACACTGCGGGTATGGGTCGCACCAGCGACGCTTGCCCCCTTAAGCCTGATCGTAATAATTAAAATTCCTCGTTGTCCCGGCAACCAACAAACCTTTCTCTCTCTCTCTCTCTCACCATATTTCTCTCTTTCCAACACCAYCACCATCCCACCTCACTCGGAAATACATATTTGTATATATACCCATATGTAGTTATTATTCGTATATATGATTTACCGCCATTACTTTTGTGTGTAGTCGCTTTTATGTATAGTGAAAACCGCTTCATGTCGCGTTCGTTGACAAACGCGCGCGCCGCGTGTAAAGAAATATGAATTACAATTCGGTATTAACGACGACTGGTGTTGTGTATGTGTGTATATATTGTGTACATACTACATATATGTATATATGGTGGACATGTCGAAAAACACGTTGACAACATATATTTTGATGGGAACGACATGAATGAACACGGTTAATAGAATCGTCTGGACTTGTCTAATGAGTTCTCTTCCTTTCACTCTGCGTGGTGAACTGCAGTGTCTGAAAGTATCGGGGACTGATTGAATAACCGACAGAGTTAAGTGGTCTATATTGAAGATAGACAGTTATAACAAAATAAAAAACGATGTTATTTTGAATTTTTTTTTATTCTTCTACTTCCTCTTCTTCTTTATCTTCATGCTGTTTGCCTCTCCGCTGAGATAAGAACTTTTTTCCTACAGGTTTTTAAGTTGTTGTTGCCATTATTGTTTTTCCGTATTTACACGATAAACTATACAGGTACCGAGTTCATCATTTATTGTCACCATAATCATTTTCATGTTAAGTTGTCACACAGTACATGATTTGTTCAATGCGCTTATACTGTTTATAGCATACGAATATATAAGCCCGCTATGATTCCATTTTGGAATTCGTACATTGCGTATAACATATACTATGATAAAAATATTTTGTTAKTATCATAAACGAATTGTGTCATACAACAAATGAAATTTTCTTGCATCTTCAGCGAGTGGTGACTATTATATTATAGTTATTATACATTTCGGAAGGTGCATCCCGATATTACATATAGCCATATAGGATCGTTTAATTACGACAATTAAATGCGCATCAATCGGCGGTACGTTCGTGTATCATAACTGCATTGTTTTAACGCGTGTTCAAGTGCATATTGTCCATCAACCATTGTTAGCGTCTTTCATTTTTATAAATTAAATGAAATTGGACCCCCCAGACGGATATTATTGTCATTACTCCAATTCACGTCTCCTCTCTGTATCAACTGTGTTTGCCGGCCCCGAGTGAGATGCGAGACGGTATAATAATATGTAAACATTACTTATTAATGGTAGGTGGTCCTTTAGTGGCAATTAAATCTATTGAAACCGTACGTTTCGTTTATTATTGACATTACACATTAGACCATTAGAAGCATACAAATATTATTTTAAATAATATGTGTGTGTGTGTGTGTGTGTGTGTGTGCGTGTATTTAAATAGTATGTCGTTTGTAGAAAAAAATATGACGATCGAAAAACTTCTTGCGTGTTTTTCTTAATTACGCATACGCATTAAAGACATTAATTCGTTATTGAAATATACATTTGTTTTTAATATTATTCTCCCAACATTTGTTAAGTTCATCTGTTTATATTTTATTTTCAATCGGTTTTTGAATCACTTTTCTCGGAATTTATTATATTTTATTTGCATATCCCATGTATATACACCTACTTCTTTTACGAGAATGTTTTATTGGGCGACGTATTATCTTTTATGAGCGAAGATTTACCTAACATCATAAAATAAATAAAGAATAAAAAAATCACAATTCGTGTATAATGATGACTAATTTCATAAAATTCATAMTTACCTATACTGCTTTCTATCGAAATATTCTTTAAAACAATAATAAAAATAAATATATTATGTACGTATCACATATAATATTTACCATTTATAATCATGTTAACGATCATATAATAATATTAAAGATACCATTATAATAATAAATAATAACAAAAATTTATTATTATTATCATCATTAAAAACATCCATAATATATTTTGTATTAATTCATTACGTGTGTAGTGTATATAATATATGTGTGTGGTGATTGGTAATTCAGTTTTTTAATGCGTCGTAAAATATTACGGGTTACATAAATGTTGGTTCCGATGCTTAATTTTATAACTAACCAGCCGTGTTATGCAAATTTGATCTAATGATAAATTACGGTTTGTCGATGTAATACGTGTGACCAGCGGAGTTGTGATCAAAAACAGATAATTTCCGACATCATTGCTAATTGGTTAAAAGCGTGTTTGCGCATACTAATGTGTAATACGTGTTATATGGACAAGTGTAGGTTTATGGAACACATCACGATGTACTTTTTACGGTTAAAGTTTAACAATTTTCTGCGTTACATTATTTTTGTATGATATAATATTGTATCCTAATCACCATTCGTAATACAAGTCGGTATTGTATGCATTTTTCTGCACCCAGTACGTGATGAATGAAATTACATTTTGTTGAGGTGAGATGGAATCATTATATATTTCAGTTTAGGTTTTTATTTTTTTCTGTCAAATTTTAACCTCCTCAACGAGTAATCGGATTATATTTTTAAGTTATCAATTTATTTTTCAAACAACTGTTTTGAATACCAACTCGGGATGTATATTCATTTTCTAGAGCGAAAAAAATTCACATTTAAATATGCTCTGGGTGTGTATATATTTATATTCTATGTATAGTGTATGTAYATATATATCTGTATATATTCGGATAAATATATATATCTCCGTTGTGTATATATACATACACGCTTTTATCCACGCGCATTCAATCTCGCTATCGAGGGTGGAGATAAAGAGCGGGGGTAACTTTAAAAAGAGCAGGGTAGTGATAGAGTGAAAGGGGAAAGAGGAAAGTAATTTATGGGTTTACATCAGTTGTTGGCTGCCAAGATTAATGGCTCACAGTCTCTCCACTCCTGGT